ACCAGCAGGGGTCAGAGACGCCCCCGTTGTCTGGGCAACAAGGAAGCCACAGGTCCCTGGGAACCAATGGGACGGCTAGGAGAGAAGGTGTGCTCGCAAGGCCCTCCCTGGCAATGATCAGCACCCGAGGTGACTAATAGGCCATGGCAGCATCACGTGAGCATGCACGCACCGCCCGCCGGACTCCAGGTAAGAGGGCACCCCTGGTCCCACGACAGCTTTAGAGCTTAACCCATTTGGCCCCCTAGGGTTCTAGCCACATTGTGTACACATGGTCAAAATATTTTCATATTATGGCACACTTACCTCCTGAAGAGCTCTTCTCCATTACTGGGGAAGGGACAGTTTGGCAGGAAAGTTGCACTGAGCTGCGCATGTACCAGCAGGCAGAGAAAAAAAGAATTTCTGAAAGAAGACATACTCTTTTGCTACTTCTCTATCTGTTAGCGGTTTTGCTAAAAATACTTTAGTTTAGCTTTAAAATCCTGGACTTGCCTTGTTTAGAGCTAAAAAGATCTGTACCAGATGCAAGCAGTCCATGTTGCACACTACCTGTGCCTATAAGCTGGCACCAAAATCAAGTATTCCACTAAGAGAATATCAGCTAAAATCCAGCCAACTTTTAGTGTGGTGCCAAGTACCAGCACAACTTCTGCGAACAAATTTGATATCATTAAAGATATTAATCTCTTTGCTAGGAAATTGTTGTTAAAACAAATCCATGACAAAGATAACCAGCCCCTGGGGGAATCTTGAAGGATTGGAATGACTTTTCAGAGAAAGACTATCGAGCACTACGACATCTTCATGATCTATGGGCAGAGGGACACATTTCAGAGGAGGAAGACAAGGAATTGACAGACGATTCCATGCCATCTAAAATTTCCCGCTTCAAACCAATCAACCACATTTCCCCCTTGTCACAGAATATAAACATCTGGAACTTTGTAAAACGAGTAAGTGACGATATTGTGATGAATTTATCACACAGAGTAAAAAACGTCAATCTTACACCCGATCAAAGGAAGGCCCTAATGGATCTCTAACAAAACAAAAAGATTGTACTAAAATTTGCTGACAAGGAGGAAATGTTATTATGACTAACGCATTCTACACTGATATGGTAATGAAAATTCTTAATAACCGAGAATGGTACAAACTTATCAGGGCAATTGCCTTATTAGATCACCAACAGGAGCTCTTTGGGATCATAGAAGAAGCTTTTATCATAGATAAAAATACCAGCAATTTTCTAAAAATACAGCATCCAAGAACTCCAGTCATATATGCCCTGCCCAAAGTTCCCGGTGTAAGCCCAGGACCAGCACAGCAGCTCTGCGGCCAGAGATCAAACGGAGCTCAGTACTCGAGCTCCGTTTGATCTACTCTCCTCTTCTGAATGCAGGCAGTGATGTGTATTACATCACTGCCTGCATTCAGTGTCACTCTCCGATACAGAAACCTGAGAGAAGCTGGTGAAGCAGGTCTCTGCTTCATCAACTTCTCTGGGGGTCCCTAGGTGACATTAGGGGTCTTAAAGACCCCTGATGTCTCCATAAAGGGGACCTGTCACTGCAAATTGGCTATCACATAGGGAGTTTGTTTGCTCCCTATGTGATAGCAATAAAGTTCAGTGGGGGAAAAAAAAGGTTTAAAAAAATTTGTTACAAAAATAAAATAAAGAATCACATATCAAAGCAATAAAAAAAATTAAAGTCCCCCCGCCCCCACATGTACACGCAAACATGCGTCAAGCCCACCTACGCGCGAAAACGCCAGTTACATATCGCCGCGAACGTCGGAATGAGAGCAATAATTCTAGGGTCATCAATCACTGATTAACTGATGAGCGGTAAAAGCTTTTAAAGCGTTCGCTATGGTCAATTTTGAGTATGGTAGTTTTTTGCGATTTTGCTGGGTGCGCGCAATTTTAAAGCTTGACATGTTTGGTGTCTATTTACCCAGCGTGACTCCGTCTTTTATATTATTATATTGGGTAATAATACATTTTTTTAACATAACGTAGGGAGAACAGGTTTTTTTTCAAAAATGTCGGTACTTTTTTTATTATACAGGAAAAAAAAACCTAGTAGTGGTGATTTAATACCACCAAAAGAAAGCTCTATCTGTCCACAAAAAATGGTATGAAATTCATTTCAGTACAGCGTTGCATGACAAAATAAATGTCAGTCAAAGTACTGCAGCGCTGAACACTATAAAATGGCCTGGTCAGGAAAGGGGTATCAACACCCCGGTCAGCAAGTGGTTAAAAGATAACTTAGTAGCTAGGGAATATAAAAGTGATAAACTAGTTTGTGGCAAATAACCTGGTAGATACCAATGCCAGAGATGTAAGTTTTGTAGTTTCATCCAAGTAGGAAATCACAAGTAAGCATTTTGCCAATTGTGAAACCAGAGGGGTCATATACCTTTTTGTTCTGCCGATGTCACATGTTTTACGTAGGGAAAACAAAAAGGATGCTAAAAAACAGAAGCTCGGACCATATTTCTGACATCAAAGCTCGTGATCTAAGATCTCCAATTGCCAGACAAACACATGGGGAAAAGACCCAGGGGCTCCGTTTCTTTGTTTTAGATCTGATACACAAATCGAGTAGAGGGAGAGATTGGGATAAATGCTTATTACACAGGGACTGTAGATGGATTCATTCCACCAGATCCTACGAATAACCAGACATAAATGGTGCTATTAATTTTAGTTGTTTTCTGTAGTTCGTGTCCCTCTTCCAGCATAGGTCTTTTAGTTGCCTATATAAAGGCTGTCATGTTGTTGTGTATAATATATATTTGAGATGCAAGAAGATATCAATATACTGATTTGCTTAATGTTGAATATGTAGCACTGAACATTGTGAGTGGTTGTTGCACACTGGATATCTAATATACAGTTTCCAATGTGCAATGTTAAACATTAATATTGAACATTGTATCGCTATATGCGCAACTATATTGATTTGTTTGCTTGCAAAGTTACATGATAGCCTGTTATTTGAATATATTAGCCGCTGTATAAGAAAATAATATTACTTGACATTATCAAACAAATGTATTTGGTACATAATATGTTTCCGGTTGAATGAATGCGCTCCGTGGGGACACACAGGAACGCAATGGCTCATTTCCTTTACTCAAAGAGATTGTCTGCACTATGTAAACTAATGAATTGGAACCCTTGCTAAACAACGCCCTTCTGACGAAGCCCCGGTGGGGGGTGAAACGCGTCAAGGTACAGGCGTGGTGTTTCTGCTGACAGTCTCGGCCACGGACACCCCTGTCCAAAAAGAGTAGCTAACAAGTTAACAAATTACACCAGAGCACTTCAAGTGAGAGGATAGTCCCTCCGACGGCGCACAGTCGCTGATATATGCATTTCTGGGGTTCACTCCAGCACAGTGGAATTCACTTACCCTCAATCCAAAATAGTGGAAGTTTTTTCCTCGTATGAAATCCACACAAGCGAGAGCATGCGCCCAGTGATGGCAAATCACTCCACATAAAGCCTACATGAGAAGCGCTGAATTTCTTTCAAGGATATCACCTTTACAAATATACCCTGTATCTATTACTGCTCTCTGCACTGGAGGACATACAATCTTGGATCTTCTGTCTTTGAGGAACAGACAAACATCACTGTGAGTGCCCTCTATATACCTTCTTTCCTAATAAGAAGTGAACTGTTTTGGGGTTTTTTAGATCTATTTTTCCATACACGTGTATGCTATTTGAATGTGTGATCTGTGGGACTGCAATTCTTTTACCTTTTGAGGACATTTTCTCTGGGGGAAATCCATATATTCTAAAATAAGAAACTCCAGGGGTGCACCGATCACTTTATATATTTTTTCTATGTGCACTAAATTTCGATAGAGCCAAGTGCTTTCCTATATATATGTCTGTTTGTTTTTTTGATACATGTGTCATATAAATTTTAGTCAATTAGTCAACTAATACTTTTTATTGATAAATGTTGCATATTTGAAATAGTGGTGGGATCCCCTTCTTTGGGGAATCTGTTTTTTTCTTTGTACCAGCACAATACCAGAACCTTCATGTCCAGTAGTTTGGCTGTTTAAAGTAGTATTAATGAATCCAGATCAAATATACATTGCCCAGCAAAGCAGTTCTTTACATTTTTGCTTAAACAATTACAATCATCATGTTTCTGAACAGCTGCTTTACAGTCTCTCAGCTCAGCTTCCCTGAATTTGCTGTCCAGTACAAGATCACAAGGGACAGAGCAGACTCCAGCAACTGTTCAATCTCCTAGCTTGGAGGAGAGGGGGCCAGGGGGGAGGAAAGTAGCTTGATTTTCTGTGTTCGTGGACACACACAGCTTACTAGCACTCACAAGGATGACTGCATAGCACTCTACTTTAACGTGCCCACACACCTTGCGATAATCGTGCGATCGTAGGGGTGCGACCTGTGCTACTGTAAGGTCACACGACTTTTATCTTAGGAACATGTTCGAAAACCCGCAGAGAATCGTACGATTGTCGGCGGGTGTGTGGCATGTTCGTAAGATAAATGCCGCACGGGCCGTTGTGCACAAGCGCACACTGCCCGTTCAGCATTGCGGTCATCGGAAGCCCGCCCCTCAGCGGGGCGGGCTTGCGATCATCGCAAGTACGATCTGCCTGTCCAAGATAGGCAGATCGTACGTTTTTTAAATTACCTTACAACCATGGTGTGATGGTTGTAAGGTGTGTGCCCAGCATTAGAAAGGAGTCGCTCTAAAACAGGAAGTCAGGACCAGCTGATTCTGCAGGAAACATTTAAACATTAAGGAGCAGCATTGATCAGCATTTGAAATAACTTGAAATCCTTTTGACTTTAATATCACTTTAAATATCAACAGGCCTACCTTTTACCACTTGCAAACTAACTGACAAATCCAGAGCTGATTTTTTTTTTTTCCGTTACCCACAGTTCTAATTAATCATTGTTCCTTATTATATTTTTTTCTCGTCTCCTTGCAGGACATTTTTGCAACATCAGCTAAGGGGCAAAAACTGTGAACTGCTTTTAGTGGTGCCAGAGGAAGTTGAAGTTCATCAGCGCTGGCGGACTGACCTGTAATGAACTTTGGACTTTTTTTTTTACACCATTTTGTTCTTTTCTTCACTACAGTTTATTAACTATTGTTGACAATCTCTGTTGTGGATGTAGCCCTGTATTTGTCCTCTAGAAGAAAAAGGTCAGGTGAAATGGGCATTATAGCCTTTTCCCTTCTGCAATATGGAGGACCAAGCCACAGTTTTTTTTTCTTGTGTGACTCAAAACAAGAGGAGCTGATTCATCTCAGTAAAGTCTAAATTAACAAAGAAGTAATGAACAGTGTATTGTGGGTTACCAAAAACAGGTTTGTGCATGCTGTTGGTTGTGATGGAATCTCTACAGTCCATTTTTCTTTTTTTCCAGAATATTTCAGGTTAATGCTGTACTTTTACAGGGTACCTGTGGTATAAGCCATTGATGCAGACAAAACTTGTATATTCACAAGGAACACATTGGGTAATTGTAAACAAACGGAGCCATCCTTATGTATGCACAATAAGTAAAAGCTTCAGTTCTTGTTAACTAAAAAGTGCTCTTTACAACCTAAGAAATAGTTGCATATGTGGACATCAATTGTACACATTATTTTGTTTCATCTTTATAATGCTCCTTGCAAACGGTCATTGCCTGTTTTATATCCATGTATTTGCAGTTATACTGGTGCAACCTGATTAGTTTACATATTCAGCCAAAATATGATCTGGTTGGCATACTTGAAATAATTTTCTAAACACTATATTCAAGTAGTGCTAGAGCAGGGGTAGCCAAATTCCGGCCCTCCAGCTGTGGTGGAACTACAAATCCCATGAGGCATTGCAATATTCTCACAGCCTCAGACATGACTCCTGGAGAGAGATGCATCATGGGATCTGTAGTTTCACCACAGCTGGAGGGCCGGAGTTTGGCTACCCCTGTGCTAGAGTAAAGGATGTTACTTTCCTGGTGCCTAAATACATTCTAAACTGTTAGGGTTTTTGGGGTATTTTTTTTAAGTTTTCCACACTAATGTATATTGGCTGTGCTGTACAACAGAAATTCAAGGAAACATATGCCTGTGTGTACACTATTCTGTCTTGGCTTTGTAACATTATAGTAATATGATATATAGTTTGTCTTTGGTTGGACTGTTTATTTACATCCTGACTTCCAAACTTCAACAGTTGTGTAAAATCATTGGTTACATGTTGTTACACAATATTGTATGTCGAAAGTGTATTTCTAGGGCAAACTGTTTTATTTTATGGAAGCCCTGGGTAATTACTGGCTAAATAATCATTTATTTAAAGCTGAACTTCAGGTAGGTACAAAAACACAGTATGTAATAGTTATGTAGTTGGCACTCAGGTTTGGGAAGGGAGGGCCAGCACTAGGAGCCAGTTACACTTCTGCACCTGTACTGACTGCTCTAACTTCATTGTTCAGCCAGCAGGCTGAGGATGTAACTTTCATCAATCTGCTGTGAGGACTTGGCTATGCAGTGTTATTGGCTCACAGGATGGACTGCACAGAATGTCGAATATATTGGCAGGTAAAAAGGTTTTACATGTGTATTTAGCTGCCTGTCTGCAATTCGATGTTAAAAATGGTGCTTTATTGGATTTTCTAGGTGGAAATAGAGGATTAAAAGCATGCAAAAAAAACTGACATGCCCAAACAAATGGATGCTTTCATTTTTTATTGCAATACAGAAAACAATATAGTTTGAGACTTTTGAGAGGCCACTTAAGGCAATACCACCATTTCTTTTGCACAAGTATTCATGTATATAATGTTTTATGTTGCAGGTGGGTAACTTTTTTTTTACTTCCACCACTCCAAGCTTGATCCTGTGATGGACTACAACCTCAATACAAACTAGTAGTCCATCACTGGAGCAATTTTTTTAAAATGTATTTTATTTATCCGATTAACCGATTAATCGAACTTAATAATCGGCTAACTAATCGATTTTGAAAATAATCGTTAGCTGCAGCTCTAGTACAGTGAATGAAAGGATAAGAGGTTAAAATTAAATATATGTAGATTACTGTTCACTTTGTTATGAGGACCCTGAAACCACTTTAGAATTGAATTGGTGCCTATGTTCGTGTAAATGCACATCCTTTCGGGTTCCTGTCAAATGCTGTGTTCTCCATTGAAACGCAGGTAGCTGCGCATTAATGGAAAACACAGCACTTGACAGGAATGGGCTACGTTTGACCTGCTTTGTCTGCAGTTAAAATGCACTGTAATAGGACCTGCTGTGTTCTAAACAATGCAGAACAACATACAGCAGGTCACACACAGCCTCTGAGTGGTCATCGTACTACTCAATCAAAGTCCGTATGCTGACATGCAGTTCAAATGCATACTAAAGGGCAGAAATTGGTGCCCGATGACATGAGCCCTTACACTGTTCTCTTTATTAAAGTGACATTAAAGGCAAAAAAAAATTTCCCTCCCCCAATGTAAATGTTAGCACTTACCTTAAATGATGTATCTTTTTCCGATCTTCCTCTTCTTTCCCCGTGTTTTCATCTGTCCCTCCAGCGGTGTGACATCACTCCGTTCCAGCGCTGACTGCTCTGTCTCTCCGATCCAGCGGTGTCTGCAGGCGGGTGCACGCGTCCATAGACTTACCTTGCGTCTCTGCTCGTCTCCCGGCCGAGAATCGGAACAGTGAATGCGCCCGCCCCAAGATCCTTTGCGGCCGTACGAGCAGTTCCTGATTCTCGGCGCGGGAACGAGCGGCGATAACGAGGTAAGTTTAAAAGGATTTTAAGCGTTTTTTGTTTTTTTTTTACACTTCTTGCCTATATCTACTGCATGCTACCAGTAGATATAGGCAAAAAAACCGGAGGGTTTAGAACCCCTTTAAGATATACTCAATATGCATGGTTTCAATGCTGTACACTACATTTATTGACACTGTTACATCTTGTTCTTTATTATGATCAGTTATTAAGATATCCAGTCTATGAAATGAGAAAATCTCAACAATGGTTTTAATACTATATGTTATGTTGTTTGAAATTCTACCAGTCTGGATGTAGAATATTTATAGAAGCCTATAATTTTGTTTTGAAATCATTTTGATTCTCACATGAAGGCCTTGTTTACCAAGCAGCTGTGGACTGTGTATTGCCTTTTATCTCCAATGATTTGTATTGGGGTTGACTTCACAGAGATAATGGGGTTGATTTACTAACCTTATAAACACACCACGAATGTGTATACACCTCTGCAGTGTGTTCCCTCCCAGCATGATCTATGGGTGGAATCTAAACACCTTTGTAATGTGTACACACCCAGCAGGTGTGTTGTGCAAAGCCCTGAATGAATTCCAAGGTGATGTTGGGTAAATTAGCTCTATGTTGTGTTGCTTGCTTTGATGAATGCAAGGAATGTAAATGCATGAGCTAACCATTTTTGTCTAAACTGTGAAGCAGCATTATATATGCATCATGTGCATGATTTTTCCATATATGGCATTAGTGGAAATATGCTTTTAGAGACTTTTTGGTTGATAAATACGTTTTGCTGTGTGAAAATCACACACACCTGGTGTGTGTGTGTGTGTGTTTAGGTTAGTAAATCACCCCCAATGTCTGTATTTTACTAGATTTGGCCATTATTCGCATTATGTATATAGATAAATATAACCATTTTTCTTTTTTTTTAATCCTGAAATAGACTGGGGATCTTGTTTAACAGCCGTTTTATTAAAATTTGACACAGTGAAAGCACAATGGCTACAGTTTGCCAAGTCGCATAATAATATTAGCCTCAGAGCTGTAATCAGGTTCTGCATGTTAACATTTCCCTTTTGCAATCAGTCCTTTAAAATATCGGGCAAGTGTTCAGGTAAATCAGTGAGAATGATTACAAACTGGCCTAAAAGTAAATGGTTTGTAGCATGCAAGGAGCAGACAGTACAACAGTACAATCCCCCCCCCCAAAAAATTAATTTGCAAAGGTGGAACAAAATTCAAGAGAATCTTTTTTTATGCTATTTTCTGTGCTATTTGTTTACAGAGAAAATGTATTTTGTTATCCAAATGTATAATAAAGCAAAATTACAACGGCATTTTGGTGAAATTATTTCCACTACTGAAACATATTCACTATTGTACTATTTACATAGTTGAATTGAACCATGTGTTCATTGAGTTTAGTTAAAGCTGAACTCCAAGCAGATGTATAAAAGTTTTAACCTCTACCTGCAGAAATGTTTTTTTAATAATCTAAATAAGGTAACGGGGGAATTCATGAAAACTGGAGCAGAACGTTTTCTTAGGGCAACCAAGCAGCTCTCCTTACAGTTTGTTCAGATAAGCTTTGAAAATGAAACGGAGAAGCTTTTTGGTTGCCATGGACAACCTGTCTGCTCCAGTTTTTATGAATTCCCCCCCAATGTGTATTATCCGGAACTAGCACTAGCAGAATCAGAATATTTTAAAAAGCATAGAATGTAAAAGAATTACTAACATGTATAGTAAAATGCTGATTAGGGTTTTTTTTTTTTCAGACCATGCTTTTTTCCCTTTCTTTGGAAAAGGTTTAGAGGGTCTTCAGGAACAGGAAATGTATCACCAAAAATGCTTTACCTGGTCAGTTACTGTGTTCCCTCCATTGGAAGAAGACTCATCGCTTTCCACATGTTGATAGGAGACTCAGCTGAGGATTCTTGTCTCCACTAACCTCATTTGCTTTACCCTCCTTGCTGGTGGGACTCTCAACCACCCTTGTGCCCTTGTACAGAAAGGACGAGTTCAGGGCTTACTCCGTTTTCTGTGCATGGGGAAGGCCAGTACGAAGGGACTTACCCCCTTGGTGGGCAGGCCTGGGCTGGTGTGGTTCCCTTCTAGCGACAGTAAAGGAACATCCCTGCTGGGTATTCACCAAGCTGAATCCACTTGACCAGTGGTGCGGGGAGCCAAATCCTGGTAGAGTAATGTTGCTGCCTGGGCACTGCAGCTGCTGGTTCTGGGGCTGCGAATGTGCAGTGGGAGGAGGGCGGGGGCCTGTTGGTGCCTCTTCCGACCAAGCCTCCTGGGGAAGGTGGTGTAATGGCCGAAAGACCATTTTAAGAGCTTTCTTCTGCTGTACTCCTGCTATGAATAACTCAAGGGGTAGACAGCATCACTGGCAGTGACAAGCATCTGTGACAATAATAAAATGTAGGCAAGCTTGTAGTCAGTGGCTTGTCTCCATGCTTTTTCTTGATGTTGTCTATAGTTAGTATGCAACCGGTTAATGTAGTATGCAGTTAATGTTACAATATTAAGCCCTTTTTATGACATGTGTTGTACCG